TGAGTTACGAAATATTGGGATATGCAAATAAGCATTCATGATATTCCTCTTTGTCATTGATAAACCTGGAAAAAAGGCCACCTAAGGGTGAGAAATGACTCCAAGGTAAAATGGGGCAGATTGAAAATTAGAATGAGGTGGGAAAACCTAGTATAGGCTACCAGTCTCCGGTTTGGCACAAGGACAACAAACAGCCTGGAGAAAGATGATGAACAGGTGCAAACCTTGTACCACCTAAGACTGACACAGGCTGGTGGCAGGATACCAAGTCACAGGGAAGGAAAATGGTACCAGGGACGTAGAAGGTGGGGATAGAAATAGTAGGACAAGTCCCTCTGATAAAACCCAAAGAACCTATGAAACTGTATTGAAAGATCACCAAAGGGTAACAATATAATATAGTCAAGCTCCCACTGGACTGGAACCCTCTGGTTAGTCTCCAGTACTGTTGGCAACATGCCCATCAACGTTGGATAAAACAATGAGATGAGAAACCCCTGGAAGGGGGACAGGGACAGGTAGATAAAGACCAGGATGAGAAAGGAATAGGGATGTGTCAGAACTTCAAGTGCAACAAATGTGCAACAGGAGGGTCGAGTGTTGACACACAGATTACAAAGTTTCAGACACATGACAGAAAACATCACCAATGAAAAAATACAGAAATCCCAAAAGAAAGAGGTGGCAAATATACCAGGGACAAGGTCACATTGCGACTCAGAAAATCCCAACTACAGTAAAACCAGAGCCGAATACAAATGAGCCAACATGGAGGTAATAAGGAATTGCAGAAAAATGGGGAATTGGATAAAACATAACATACCAGATAAATAATGTCGAAAATTGCCATATTAGGCCTACCTGATTCCATAGGGAAAAATAAGAAAATCTGGTGGTGTAAAAAGGCTATCAAATCTTTATCAGCCTGAACAGGTTTGGCTTGTTCAAGAGGATCAGTGGGGCAAGTTCAGGAGAACAAGGTTTACCCATACAACGATAAATCTCACAATGGATAATAGCAGAGATATCAAATGATGAGTCTCCCCCACCTACAGCCTGTGAAAATAGTACTAGAGGTATAACACCCGAAGTGGGAACATGAACCTCAAAATTCATGGTAGGCAATAATTGCCATTTGATGTATGTGTTAGTCTTTAATTAAAGTAACACGCAATTCTATAGAAACACAAGAAACTTTACGTGAGATCAAAGAAAAGATGGTAAAACTTCTAGTGAAAACAACAACATGGTGAAACTTTGCGTGACAACAAAAACTACAACCTGGTGAAACTTCACGTGATAACATAAACAACATTGTGAAATTTCCATGACAACAATAACAACATGATGCAACTTTCCAGCAATACTATGGTGACAACTGAAGTGCTACAGTAGTATTACTTGTGTATACAAACAAGAACAGACCTGTAATGTTCTTATGTTCCTAACCAATGTGGGCCGGCCCCAGCTGGTTCATAAAGAAATTTTTATAAACTAGTTACCCGCCACGTAGGTCCATGAATTTGTTTATTACAGGTGTTTAATTATATGGATCACACACATACACACAAAATAATTAATATGGCATCTATACTATACTGCAGTTAACCCCCCTCATTTGCTCTGATGGCCATCCATATATTTTACATGTACAATTAGGGATTTAACCCATTTGTTTGGTCAGTGTTGGACTGGACCAAAAACTAGTAAATAAAACACAGTGCAGGCTCCACTGGAATGTTTATCATTTGTTTATTAAATTTGATAAATAAATGATTACTTTCTAGGTAGACAAAAGTGTTTGATTGAAAAAAAATCTTTTAATTTAACTTAATTTCCCAGTCTTCATTCTTTTCTCACACTCACTTTTTTACACGTAAAAAAAATAAATTAATCCCATTAATAAATTGGAAATTAAACTATTAAAATTACAATTCACATGAAAAGCACCAAAAGAAAGAACGTCTGAACACAATTACTGCTAAACGAGAAGTGATAGTTTGGTAGAATCAAATAGAGGGATTCACATGTGTCATGAGTATGCTGCACTCTTATTGGTGGAGGGTTGATGCATGATGATTTGCATGAGAGATGTATTGGAATCAGTCAATTCCAATGGATGGGAGATAGAAGGCTTGTGGCATGCATAATTTTTTTGCACATAGAGGGCAGCAGCGAACAAAAATAGATTTTTATGTGAGTGGAGGTAATGTACCATATCAGAAACAAATGGTGTAAGAACAGGACTGGTCAACTTCACCTACATTACGGTAAACTGAGAACAAAGTTCCCAAACCCATATTGATTCTTAAGTTCAAATCTCTCTTGTTTGCGTGAAACAACTTGCATTAAGAAATGGTCTATAATGATACTTGTAACTTGAATTCTTTCAAATATTTCATGAGAAAAGTATACAGAGGTGAGCTATTGCATTTTTATTAGTGTGTTAGTATTTAATATTCTTTGTTAAATGATTTTTGGTGTTATTTTGTTTTTTATGTTATATTCAAGAAAGGTACAATTACATGCAAGTCTATCCAACTGAAAATAACATCATTAACAATTAGTATGAATATTTTAAAGATAATGAAACAGATGATATGATAACTGATAACAATCAACTTTCGCTCGAAGTAACACAAATTAGTCTTACATGCGACTTAGCACAATAAAAAGTGAATTAATACAAATCAGCAAATTAAACTTAGATGAGGTTTGTAAAGCCTTTTTTTAAGTATGTTAAATGGAAACAATGTTAGATTGGCCTTTAAACAATGAAGATGGTGGGTTTCAGTTTTGGTTGAGATTGCTCAGTGAACATCTAAATGCTTTTTCTATCTGGGTCATAATATCTCTAAAACTTTTAAAACAACGTACATTAGTCAGAAAAAAGGAAAACATGATTTTCTGTCATATGCATAGAAACATTGAGTAAGTTGAAACAGGTTATCAGTTCTTTCTATAATGTGATGGTTTGGAACAGTGTGTTTAATTTTTGGTATCTTACTAAAAAGTAGTGGGTTTAATTTTTACATTTTTGGAAGGGAGTGAATGTGCATGGAAATCTTTAGAGGATCAAATTATTGTTCTTCATATTTCATATTAAATAAAACTTCAGGATAAACTACAGTACAACAGAAAACATTTTCAAGCAAAGACACTGCAACTTGATTGTACACAATAACATACTGCATTTTTTTTATTCATAAGAGTTTAATCTAACCTATCATGAAATATAATGAACCAGATAATTATCACTCAATGAGACAACAGAGTAACTGAGAAAGATTTACCCAAACTATTGACTGGCAGAGCTAAGCAGCTTGGTTTACATTTATGTGCAACACATAACTGGCACGACTAAGTAGCATGGATTATGTACATGTGCAACCCATAAATAGCAGGGCTAAGCAGCATGACTTTTGTCCATGTGCAGGTTCTGAGAAGAAAAAATTTCACAATTTACACTGACTTTTCTAGATATTGCAGTAATTTAAAAATCATTCCAGACTTTTTTTTAGCCCATTTTCACATTCACAGACTGCTCCAAATTTATTACCCTCCCCCAGTGTGGTCATACTTGTGTTAACCCCATTACTACTGTTCTTTTGTCTAGCAAAGAAAATCACACTTTTCCTGCATTACTCATGCTCTCTCACCTAGCAATGAAAATTTCAGATTAAAAAATTCACAACAATTTTTACACTTGATTTCATTTTCTTACTTAGAGAACTTGGAAATCTGATAATTTCTCAAGACAAGTGCTGCTGAACATGAAATCTCACTCTTTAACATAACATCGCCAAGAAATTGACAGGTCTGCAAGATATCTACTTAGCTTTCAGTTGCAATAAAAACTGAAACTTCTACAATTTTTTATACTACATTTTAGAATTTAAAATGAACACTTTCAAGTATAAGAAACATCCCTGCATAATTGGTGGAATTGCTTTTTTTTTTACTTTGAAGTATCAACTGGTATACAATATTTATAAGCAATCTATGAAACATTGTATATTTTTAAAATTAAATTGTGAGAATATTTAAAATGCAAGGTAACAAAACGAAACTGATTAAACCATGATTACGCTACACTCTTCATAAGGCCTAACATTAAATACAAATTAAACATATCCATATACATTCATTAACGTGTGAACCTTTTTAAATGGTTCAAACTAACAGCATACATTATAAAAGCCATAAAATACTTCCCTACTTTAACCATAAAAATTTTAGTTATGATACTTATCTAATGGGGTATCAGCCTATAAAATAGTTTGCTTTCAGAAATTGCTTGCTTTATTGGAGATTAAGAAAACATTGGATAAGTGTTTTAATCATCAGGACTATATATGGGAAAGAAGGGATCTATGTGTTGAATATGGTAGTACTTGTACTCAGTAGTAAATAAACTAGCCTTGAACTTTGAAGGACCAAATTATCCCTAGAAAATTAAATGATAATACTGAAGAATACGTACGTGATCCAGAATTTTAATATCAGTTATATCATCATCATAGCCAAAATTATAAACAAAATTTGGAACTAAAATTTGCACTTAAGAATTTTTAAAACACATTTATTATTAGAATTACTTCTACTTCTTAAGTTTTCAAATTTGTACTAAGTTGTACTTGTAGTACAGTAGTAGTACTATTGTACTTGTAGTAGTATTGATAAAATTAAAAACAATATCAAGCTTTTCTAAAAATATAAAAAATTACGACAGAAGTAACGGAAAATTTCAGAATAACATTTTTCTTCTAAGCCGCTGTTAGGCTTAACGAAACTTAAACTTGGTCTCTCCTATGGTTGCAGCAAGGCCTTGTCCCATAATGTAGACCCAGAGGCACAACATGAACCCTGGTTTAACTTTACTTTAGGCTTTAGCTTAACCATACTGCTAAGCCTTAAAAAAATGACATTTTAAATCACAAATAAAGTAAAATATAAACATCAAATATACACAAATCTAAAATTAAGTAATCGAAATTTACCTTAAAATGACGATCCTTTTAATATTTTTCAGAAAATTTGGTTGTCGCACTAGACAGCTGCGTAAACGAGAACCAACCCTCACGAACCTCGTTCAATACCTCTAGCACTAGTACGCCCGGCTACATGGTAATTCAGTGGCGCTATCTATATGCTGCATTGTAAAAACTTTAAAGTGACTGTTTGAGTAATGGAACAATCAAATATTTTAAACTGAAAGCACATCTAAGTATTGTGCAGAAACCTTTTTTTTTGTCTCTTGTTAATTAAATAAGTTAACTTATTTCTTGAATGTATTATTTTCAAAAGCAATAATTAAAATCAGCCTAGTTCGGATCTTTCAAGATTTATTTCTAAGCTTTAGTTTATGGCTGTTCGATTTTAGTCAATTTCATTTTCATGGTTTATCATTTTCTAGCCAATTTCTGCTGGTCTAAAGTTGATGTATTGTTATAACAAACAAGTTTTCACATTGACCCGTTCATTTAATATTTCTATTCGTAAAATTAAATTTACATTTTATTGTAGAACTTTAAATTCCTGGCAGGGTAGGAGTCATATTCAATTAAGACAGCTTTATTTTTTCTAACAGGGTAGTTGGCCTTTAGAATGGGTTACTTTCAGATGCGGTGGATGTATTAAATTCAAAGGAGTGTGAGAGATAGCTTGATAGATGTTTTAATGATAACGACCGGCTTTTATGTTTTTAGAATGCTTCAGATAGCCTCGATGGACTGATAAGTTATTTTGTTGCCCTTAGATATTATGTTAAATTTATTTAAAATTTATAATAGCTATTATTTTTCTGTAGGTGTCGTTGGTGAAAGAACTAGTTAGGAGAGTGAGACTGAGAATATAGTTTTTCTTAAGTAAAATAAAAAAGATCAATTCAAGTTTTTTAATTAAAGATTAACCAATTAATGCTACATTATTATGGGTGGTGAAAGTCACGGACAAAGTGTTAAGATACCAGACTGGAGAATTTACAAGGTAGAAGATGTCCCGCAATTAATGCAAGTACAGAAAGCTCTCTCTCAATATGGACTGAATGATCCCTGGCTTAGGTATGATAATTTATACCTTTTAGGTTTGCTAACACGAAATTAAAAACGTTTCGTTCGGTTGTAGTATCATGTACGTATTTTTATAGCAAATAAGGTCAGAAAGGGCATACATATGTGTGCATATATATATATATATATATAGTTAGAATAAATTGTTGAAAAAGGTGTTTTATTGAAGAAATTATGATTTAACGTAACTTGTATTGTAAGCTTGCAATACAATACTACAAAAACAAGGGACCATTTTCTTTTCTTTCAAGACAATTTTTTCAAAACCTATTCTTGAGAAAGATAAAAATTTAAGCCCATTTTTTTATTTTTCATGAACTAATCAACTTCGTTTTGTAAACTTGTGTAAAAATAAACATTTTTGGCCATCACTACTGGTGATGAAAATTCATTTTATCCAGGCATAAGCCAACCATCCTATTAGAAGAAAAATTTTCTCTTAGTTAGAACCTAACCTGTATTTTCTAAATCTCGACTGCTGTTCTCTTGTCCTGGTACTTAAAGTTACAGAATAGAGCACAAAGAAATAGTGGCTATTATCCTCACAATCCCCTGGATAACCTTGTAAACTTCAATAAGACCACCTTTCACCCTTTTTTTTATCACAAGAAAAATAGAGATCTTAATCTACTCCTCCCTAGAATCAACCTAGTAGCTATCTTCTAAACAGATTCCAGTAAGCCATTATCCTTTCATGTATAAGAAAACCCTTCTGTGTACAGTATTTCAAGTGAGGCCTAATTATTGATTTGTCTAGAGTTGTGTTTCTCAACCTTTTTTTGCTCAACGTACTCCTATGCATAGTCTACAATTTCCACAGCATGTCTAATGTTTTATAGCATAGTTAACAATGGCATAGCCAATGGGTCTCTTAGAGATAACCCCAAATAGGTCCAGGATGAAATGATGTAGAAAAGAAAAAATTAAATACAGTGCACATAAAAACTTTTCAAGCTGATGTAGCAATTTATTTATTTGTTTTTTTACAATATCTTGCTAAAATCTTGTGGCATCCCTAGAGGAAATCCATTGCATCATGCTTGAGAAACACTAGTATAGAGACAGTTATGAATGTATATAAGTACACTCTAAAATTCTCTTACTATTAGTTTTACTACTAGCAACAGAACACTGCTTCAAGAGCTTGAGTGGGTTCACAGCTGCATCAGATGTGTGATCCATATGATCCTAAATGCATTATCTTTCTCTTATAATTAAAAATAATTTCCCATATATTTCTCCAACTTACTGATTGATTAATGTTATTCTGTAACACATCCTTAATACAGCTAAAAATACCCAAGAAAGCTTAACATTATCAGCAAAAGTTTTTAATTACTTGTCTGTCGATATCATTAATGTGAATAAGAAAAAGCAAAGGACCAAGCACTGACCCACGAGGCACTCCACTAGTAACAAGGGTCCAGTTTGATTAGAATCTATTACTAACAGCCTTTTGCTTTCTTCCATCCAACCACCCTATAGATCAATTATTTTTCTGCCCCAATAAGTTTTTTTTCAACAGATTTTCTGTGTAACATCAGAATATTTTTTTTTAAAACCTAAGAACATCAAATCCATATCCTTTATATCATCCAGATAATAAGTAAACATCCTTGAAACAAAATTAACAGTTGAGTAACAAAATGTTTCCCTGTGGTGAATATAGGTTGTGTTTTTTTCGTAATATATTTCATAAAATGTTTTTGTAAAACTTTCTTGTTGGACTCATTCCAACTAAAGAAGTAAGACTAACTGGTCTATACCTTCCAGCTCATTGCTTACCCCCCCCCCCCATCTTTAAAAATGGGAATAACATTAGCATCTATTAGGTTGTCAAGAAATTAATGCCATTTTTTTTAGATGAAGAAACCCGAACAACTTGTATATCAAAACATTTATTTAATGAAATAGTCTCGATTCTTATTGATGATGCTTTTCCATCTTACAATCAGATTCTTAATGCCCTGATTAAATAAATCACTTGGCTAAGAAGTATAATGCATGATGTCCTCTTTAACACCTTCCACATTTGCATACTTTTTCTCATTAAGATGGTGTTGCAGCAAAAGAAAAAGATGATGATCTGATGGTACCATATCTGGAGAATATGGTGGGTGGGGAAGAACTTCCCAACCCAACTCCATAATCTTGTGTTGCATCAAAATTGCCACATGTAGACATGCATTGTCGTGGAGAAGAAGAATAACTTTCCGATTGATGAGTGAAGGGCATTTATGAAGGGCTTGATTTAAATATTCCAGTTGCTGACTATAGATCTCTGCATTGACAGTTCACTGTGGATTGAGGAGTCCGAAATGAATTACTCCTTTGATGTCCCACCAAATGAAAAGCATCACTTTCTGCGGATGGAGTCCAGGTTTTGGGGTCGGAAGTGGTTTTTGGCTAGGACTGAGCCATTGTTTTTGGCATTTGATATTCACATGGAGAATTCATTTTTCATCACTGGTGACAATTCTGTTCAAAAATGGTTCACGCGCATTACACGCCAGAAGAGACGAAGCAATGTTCACACGTTGAAAACGATGATCATCGAAGAGTCCGTGAGGCACCAAAACACCTTCTTTATGGAGTTTTCTCATATTCCTTAGATGTTTATGTATTGTCTTCTTTGATATTCTTTGTGGCTGCATTAAAATATTTCATGAAGAAAACCTTGTCTGATCCTTGTGCTTTATATCTATTTTCAATCTGTCAGTCTATCTATTCACTAGTTACTACCAAGGGATTACTTCACTCTGCCAGTCTATCTGTTCACTAGTTACTACCAAGGGATTACTTTACTCTCAGTCTATCTGTTCACTAGTTACTACCAAGGGATTACTTCAATCTGTCATTCTATCTGTTCACTAGTTACTACCAAGGGATTACTTCAATCTGTCAGTCTGTCTGTTCACTAGTTACTACCAAGGGATTACTTCAATCTGTCAGTCTACCACTCACTAGTTACTACTAAGGTATTACTTCAATCTGTCATTTTATCTACTCGCTAGTTACTACCAAGGATTACTATCTCATTATTCAGATCAATTCCAATATTTGCCATAGAATGCTCAGGGTCAGGAATATTGCTGATATCATTTCATGTAAGAACAGAAGAAAACATTTAAAGCTCAACTAACTCTTAGTCTTCAACAAAAACTTTGCTGTCAGCATTCTTTAACCCTTTCACTGTGAAAGTCAATTGAAGTTGTATTACAGTTAAATGCAAAATTGAATTTCCTCCACAGCAACCAAAAAAATGTTCTCTTTGCAGAGACAATCGACAGATCTCCCTTGGTTTTGAAATGGTCGCTAAACACCCATATGTGCTACCATCTATGAACAACATTGGTGAACATAAATAAGACTTGGCTGATCCACCTATGCTGCCTACACTGGTGATGGGGAATCAGTTAAACATTTAGTTGATCAATAAATTGACTTATCACTCAACTTTGTCAAATTATTCATTAGAGGCAAAGATGCACTTTATTTACTTTGTAAAGAATATTATTTGTTTATCAACTAAATGGTTAGCCAGTTGCATATGACTAGCGTACACCTCAGTTTTGCATACATTTTTACTGTATTTTCACCATAATTTAGGTAAGTTAGGTACACATGATTTTGTACATAATTGCAAAAGTAAAACTAAAACTTCATCAATGTTTTTGATTTCTACATGACATTAAGCCAGATGATGCAAATATACTTGTTTAATATATGTTTGATTTTTCATCATTACTGACATATATATAGTACAAGATTTTTAGGAGTTATAATAATATATATAAATAAATGTCAATATATATGTGTGTGTATCTGTTTCTTATACTCTTCCACATTTCTTGATAATCAGCACCAAACTTGACACAGTGATACAGGATGACATAAGGAAGGTCATGAGGGGAGGGGGTTGAACTTTCCCATCTAATTTCATATTGATAGAATTCTTGGAAACAGTATGTTATTCTTTTCAGTATTGGTACCTTTATACCTAGTATGTTGTGTGTGTATATATATATATATATAATGCAGTTTCATGCTTTTGGAATACATTTTGGTCAATTTTACAGTCAGATATTGAAGAACCCTTTTTAAATAAAAGTGCACATTTTCTTGTTGAAAATCTAACTTTTCATTACTTAATAATGTTTTGAAGAATTTTAATGCCAGTTGTTTGAAGTTGGAAAAGTAATAAAAGAGGTCAAATTCATACTTTCATTTCGAAAAAAAATTTTCAGGTGGAAATTTTAAAGTCAATTTTATGTTTTAATTCTAACTATATTTCAACAGTTTTAACATAAGAAATTGTTTAGAATCAAAATTTTGGTCATTTTTCTGACATTTAGAGTAATTCATGAAGAAAAAGTTGATATTTTTTTCTGCTGTAAAGAGTATTGCCTGCAAATAAATCCACCCACTTTTTGATTTTTCTTTTTACATTTTCTACTGATTCCAAAGAACAACTATTTTTGTTAAGAACCTGTCACCCCTCGTGGATTACAGGATTGAAACTGTTCTCAAACGTTCTTGCTTTTCCAGCCATGGGGCATTATAATGTGGTGGTTAATCTCACTAGTTGCCAGTAAAGAGTAGTACCCAAGAGTTGGTGGTAGATAGTATTGACTTGCTGCTTTCCCTCTATTCTGTCACTTCAACAGTAGGGACGACTAGTTTAGATAGTCCTTAGAATAGCTGTGCATGGAAATTCAACAAACAGACAAACTATTGATACCCTTGGAAACTTTACCATAGACTAAAACCTATGTGCATAATTGAAGCAAGCATATAATGATTGCTCCAAAAAGCAAAGGGAAAATAAGTAGTATAAGCATTTTTACCTTGAGGCTACATTTTTAGACTTTTGATAAGTCATTATCATGTTTTTGTACACAAGATATTACACATTTCTATTGCGATTCATTCCAGGTACACTTTTCTATTTTTTGTATTTTTTGTGAACTACTTCTGAAGGAACTTATTCTATAAAGCTAATAACTCTGTTAGAAAAATAAAACTCTTAACTAGGACTTAGTCTGTCTTTTCCAAACCTCAACCTTATGTCCTCTCATCCTGTTGTCTTCAGAATGTAGCATAAAGGAATCAGAGGCCTTTATTCTATTGATTCCCTGTCTAAATATGTAAATTTCAATAAGATGGCATTTTCTTGGCTTGAGAGTGATACTAATGAAACTTTTATGTTTATATGTGTTATCAACATCTTTTTTTTGTTTCTTCCTTGTTGCAGGAATGAAGTTTGGAGGTTCAATCCAGCTTTCGGCACTAAGTGGCAGCGGCTAAGATTAGGTTTTTTTCGAGGCTTCAAGTGGGGGCTAGCAGCCTGTGCACTAACAATTGTTGTTGAGAAAGCCTTAGGTATTGATTATCACCATCCTTTAGGTCATGGAGAAGAAGGACAAAGTCACCACTAATCAACAGATTCTCTTGCCTTGAACTTAGTTGTAGATAGCTATTATAGAACATCTGTGTTTGACCTGTATAACTTAACAACACAGTGTAAGGTTCATCATTTCTTTTAGTAGTGATAATAAAAACTATCTCCAGAAGTTGAAGAAACATTTGTCTTAGAAATCTTACTGGGTCAGACACTCTGAGGATCACTTGTCACATTTTATTAATTAAATTATAGAATACCAGAAATAAAACTGTACACAACCAAAAGTCATTAAAGATACTTTGAAAAGAGGTTGCAAATAAATGGGACAAAATCATAGTAAAAGTTCAAACATTTTCATTTTACATTATTTATATTTACTAAACATTACACTTTTGATTTGGAAATAAAGTTTCAATTTAAAATAGTGTTTCAATAATAATGATTAACTGAAATAATCCGTATGTAAATAAATTATTAACTGACAAAATCAGTATATCAATGACATCGATTAACTTAAATAATCTGTATGTAAATAAATTATTAACTGACAAAATCAGTATATCAATGACATCGATTAACTTAAATAATCAGTACATCAATGACATCGATTAACTTAAATAATCTGTATGTAAATAAATTATTAACTGACAAAATCAGTATATCAATGACATCGATTAACTTAAATAATCAGTATATCAATGACATCGATTAACTTAACTAATCAGTATATCAATGACATCGATTAACTTAAATAATTCGTATGTAAATAAATTATTAACTGACAAAATCAGTATATCAATGACATCGATTAACTTAAATAATCAGTACATCAATGACATCGATTAACTTAAATAATCGGTATATCAATGACATCAATTAACTTAAGTAATCAGTATGTCAATGACATTGATTAACTTAAATAATCAGTATATCAATGACATCGATTAACTTAAATAATCAGTATTTCAATGACATCGTTTAACTTAAATAATCCGTATGTAAATAAATTATTAACTGACAAAATCAGTATATCCTTGACATCGATTAACTTAAATAATCAGTATATCAATAACGATAAATTGAAGTAATCAGTACTTTAATAAAAATGTTTTATGTTAGACAAATCACACTGCTGGGTTATGCTTATTAAGTATTGGGATATTCGTAACATGGTCTTATTCAGTCATTGTTTTGTCTGGTGATAGTTAATTATCTCCGATTAATTATTATTTAATAATAGGTTAGGGAAAATACTCTTCTGTAAAAAGCATTTAAAAGTGCAATATTTTATTTTCTACCCTCAAGTTGCAGTATTCCTGTTTGAAGATTTGTTTTTCGGCAAGAAGATAATCTGAAATAGTAACATTCTAAATTTTGCTTTCTTTTTCTTTGCCAGATTATAAGCTAAAGAGGTATTATTGTGTTAGAATTCTCAGAAAAAAGTTGAAATATCAGTGTGTGGATGCACAGGTTATAGAGAATTATAGAATTTTTCATTAAGAGTAATTAACATGTTGTTTGGAAAGAATGTGGTCATCATGAATGTTACAAAGTATAATTATAACTGTAGGATAAATAGCATTTAAACCTATGTACAGAACGAGTGAGTGTCTAACCATGTAGGTCGTTGATCAATTAATAGTTATACCTAACCATTCAGGTAATGTTGTTTAATAACGTATTTTTATGTCTTATACCTTAGAATTTTTTCATAATCTAAAACAATGAAATTACAGTTTTAATTTGCTGCCACGAATATTTGATTCCAAATTCATTATGATTTATGTGTATTGTTCTTGTCAGGGAGCTAAATTCTCATGATGCTCAATAATCTTCTTTTTATGTTTCTTGGAAAATAAATGATTTTTTTTTTGTTTCACATTAAATTATAGAAATATACGATTAATTCAGAGACTTAGTGACAGGCTTTAAAACTATTTTATTTTACTTTAATTCTTCATATTGTTATTTACGTTTCCCGTATTTGTGGAAATTGTGTCAAAAATATATTTATACACTTCACTATTTTAAGGAAACAATTTAATTTCGTTAATCAAAGTACGTATGACCAGTTCTTATCAAACAAAATAATAAAGTCGATTTAATTTTCGAGATGAAACAAGATTTACTTTAGTACGTTTAACTGTGACGAGATGGCAGTATGAGTGCTAAATATTAATTTAATTAGAGCAGACGAATATCGCATTCTATTGTGAAGTTTGTTTGTTTTTGAATTTTGCGCAAAGCTACACGAGGGCTATCTGCGCTAGCCGTCCCTAATTTAGCAGTATAAGACTAGAGGAAGGCAGCTAGTCATCACCACCCACCGCCAACTCTTGGGCTACTCTTTTACCAACGAATAGTGGGATTGACCGCACATAATAACGCCCCCACGACTGAAAGGGCAAGCATGTTTGGTGTGACGGGATTCTAACCCGCAGATTGCGAGTTGGGCACCCTAACCACCTGGCCATGCCGGGCCTCTATTTTAAAGTGTAGCGCTTTCATGTCACGACGTTTTTCGTCTGTTTTCTTATTCTATGACCACTTAAGCTTACTCGGTTTGGTAAGTTAATAAAATGAAATTTGTATCCGAGTAATTTCAGGTTTTATAACGTTGCAAAGCGACAGTTTTTGCCAGTATCTAGCGAGTAAAGTAACGTGCAAAACAGCAGTTCAAACTTAACATGGCCACTCTACATGGAGAAAAAGTGGCCTATAAATAAATGGTGTTCTATCTGTTGGTATAGTAGTTTTAAGTTGGATCTGGATCTGAAATTGTTAATTTTTGTCCATAGCATTTTCAAGTGATGACATGGTTAACCCGACGAAACAATTTCAATTAATAATATGACTGTGCCGAGCACAGGCAAATAGTTAGCGGGTCCCAAGAATCATGCCTCATTTCCGCCAAAAAAAAGTATATTGCGCTCCTCACTTTGTGGCTGTGTTATCAGATAGACGGTCAAACTCCACTATTTTACCTGACAAGAGTTGATGGTGGATGGTGTTGATTAGCTGCCCTCTATTTTATCACTTCAAAATAATGGGCGGTTAGTTCGAAAACATAGGCCCTAATTTAGTGCAGACAGCTCTCTTGCAGTTTTATGATAATTTTACAAACAAACAAAGCTAATTCGAATAATTCAGCGCCCTCTGTGTCACTACAATGGATTTATTGTAACGATGGGAGATAGGCGGAATACAACGACTGAATTATTGGGGTTTACGCGACTTGTATCAATAGTGTTCAGACTAGTGCTGTACTTATTGTATCCCAGCCGACTTAAAGAGCTCTGGATTGAGCGAAACGCGTCGTCGGAAATTGTATGACAAATATAGAGTAGTTGGAATAATATTATACATTTTTTAATCATTGAATTATCTCTAAAAAACTAGATTAAAAATATAACAGGCCTAATAGTGTTGACCAGTGTTATTATAAAGTCAACATGTAGTGACTTTATTAACCTTTAAAAACGAATGTTTTAACAAACTTAATTAAAACATGGCCAAGTTGAGCTTTGGATCAAATATTTATCAGACAAGCTTTCATTTTCTTTCTTCGATTTGAGTTTTGGTAGCTTTCTCCTATATTTATTGTTTTATTTACCTTATTTGGAACCCCCCCCCCCCTTAAGATACTGTAACGAAACGCTATTTCTAAAATTTTCATTTATTTTAGCTGTTTTAATTATGACTTTTACATTTTAAATTTGATTACCTCTATTAAAAAAAAATTGCAGTTCTATTTGATAATGTAAAGTTCAACAGTAAAGGACATTTCAAACACTTCAGGACAGTATCTAAAATTTTCAAAAGGAAGGTTCCTTTATAATGTTCCAAAAAGAAATTTTGGAGGTCTCCACCCTCGAAAAAGTTTTTTTTTTCAAGTAAAAGGGAGATAAATAATATATTATCGAGTCTTTCTAAAAACAGTTTATGTAAAATATATATAGGGCAACATTGTGCAGTAAACTTTATATAAAAATATAGGCAAAATAACGTTTACATCACACAATAAAATTTTAAAAAATTTAAAAATGACTACATCTTTCGGTAGCTTCCGCTACTTCATCAAAAGTAAAAATGTATGCGAACAGCGGGTTTTTATATATGGATGGTCTGACTTACTGTAATTCACCGGGGTGACACGAATACTGCACAGATGAAGTCAATATTTCCCTCCAAAATTCAGCACTATCACCAGCAACCTTTCATCTCTATTTAACAATTGATTATTTAATTTACATTTACAACCCAAAATTTCAATATATTCTCTGGTGTTAAACTCATTTGTGTATTGTTCTCATTTACAATTATTGTTTTATACCACTGTATTGAGTGGCCCGTTTCTGCAATATGATTGGCCAGCGGAGAAATTAACATCTTTTTATTACGTACATAACTTTTATGTTAATTAATGCGGTATTTCAAATTATGTTTAGTTTGGCCAATATATTTTTTGTTACTTTCACATCTAATTTGATATATACCTTTTTTCTGCAGAATATTTTTTTTTATCTTTAGTGCTAAGAAGTATTGTTTTAAGTTTATTAAACAGCTTAAAATGTTAAAAAATTATGTTTTCTAAATACGTTGGCAACTTGACTAGTTATACCGTTTACATATTGTTGGGTATCTGCTTGTTTGATAATTTCCCGCAGAAATTCTTTCCGATAAACTTCAGCGATACAAGTCCTTTCTTGATTAAACTAATTTAATTTTTCTCGATACAAACTTTGTAATACACTTAACAACGTTTATAACACACGCTATAAATCACAGTGATTCACACACTTTACTTATGGTGCCTACTGTTCACTTGACTCAGTTATCTATCTGTCTCTTCAATCACGCTGGTTTCTCTCGCCAGGCTTATATACTAAAAAGAGGGCGTCTCGATCAGACTAGAGTTGCCGGCAAATTCATGATCCTTCGATAAACTCCAACGCGCATGCTCCCAGCATCACGTGACTTCCGCTGTCATAACACTGCCCCTTCCTTTGTATTGTTCATCCTGAACAATAGCCACTTACATTAAACCAATAGATAATTAACAATAACTTAATTAAATGTACAGAATTTACAAATGCAAAATTAAAATTCAACAAAGTCTTTTAATTTTACAGGACGTTTCTTCTTCCATACTGGTCTCCGTCTCATTGGCTTCTGCTTCAC